GAAGCGGGGGGGGGGGGGGGGATTAAAAAGGGAAACAACATTTCAAGATAGGATCATAGTTAACTAAAATAAATATATTGATGATCAAAGCAAGCAAGCATTCCATGGAACACTCCCTCCTACACCGTTACAAATTGAATAAACAAATGAATATAGACCCAGAAAAACAAAAAACAAGAATCAAGCAACAGAGCCATGCTTACACAACAAAGAACACATCACCTGTGTGTGTGTGTGTGTATATAATATAGGGAGAGGCTAGGTTTCAATTACAAAGAACAAAACAATGAGTAAAGTGAGTGGTCGGTTCCTCTTCAACTGTAATAACTACTCCCCACATGGCATAGCGATGAGATTCGTTCCTTTCTCCTTTTTGTTTATTAGGTAGGAGTGGGAGTGTCGTAGCCGTACGGATTATTGCTTGCCCAGTTCCATTGGTCTCTACACATCTCTTCAATCCCGTTCTTCGCCCTGCAATTTCATTTCTTCACTATCACTATTCTGGCCCCATTACTGTTGGTTCATGAATTTGATATTCCCAACAACACTCACTCCTTAGACCTTATACATCAAAAAGCCCTCGAATTTTCGATCAGACACTTACTTCCAGTCCAGTTCACGCTCGGCCTTCTCTGTCGAAGCATATACAATCTCAGCATCACCCGGTCTTCGTCCACTCATCACAAGCGGAATTTTCTGAACAGCACATCACCATTTTTCCTTTTTAATTCTATTATAACAACCATTGTCGAGGTTTGAAAGAAGAGGAGGTGGAGCAAATTGTGTATATATATATCTGTACAATAAGAGAAAGCAGGAGGGCTTTTCTTTTGAGATCTCGGTATACCTTTCCAGAAGCCTTTTCAAAGGCAGAAACCATCTCCAAAACTGTTGTTCCTTTCCCAGTTCCCAAATTGTATACCTCACAACCTAGTAGGAGAACCAAAAAGAAAGAAAAGCTAAACAAAATCGACATTATCAGGGGGATGAACTGCCTATCCAGGTTTTTAATTAAGGAATAAGGACATACCTATTTTAGGATCTCCTAGCTTTTGAAGTGCAGAAATATGGCCATCTGCTAGATCAACCACATGAATGTAGTCACGTACCTGAAATAGAACAACTACCGCAAAAGTCACTAGGCGGTTGTTAAAGAAGAACCAAAAGCTAGAATCAACACCAACAAATCATTGGAGGGTAAATCTAGGGTTGAGGGAGTGAATTGGTTCCCGTGTCACCATTAAACTAATACACAACACAATGATCCTAAGAGGTTGGTTTCTAGTGAATCGATTATAAAGTACTGAGTCAAAGGTTTGGTTCTCGTTTGATGCCAAAAAAAAAATCTTCAGGGTTACAAATGTAAACCGAAAATTGAACATGAATTAGGTGGAGAGTGTGTTTTTCATGGATACGTGGATTAGGTAAACTAACTGAGATGAACAAAAGAACCCTCAGATAGCATAGCATGGTCATTTAAAAAAAAAAGGTAGACAAAAGGGCTCTGTGACTGTGATAATGCTCTCTATAAAGAATGTAAAAACTGGAATATCCCAGAGCAAATATGTGAAAGTCTTACCCCGGTGCCATCTTTTGTATTATAGTCGGTTCCATAAACTTTTAGGTGAGGCAGCCTTCCAACTGCAACTTGCTGCACGTAAGGCATGAGATTGTTTGGAATTCCACGAGGATCCTCACCAATGTGACCGCTAGGGTGCGCGCCAACAGGGTTAAAGTACCTCAGCAATATGATTCTCCATTCAGGATCAGCACGTTGGACATCGCGGCAAATATCCTCAATGCAGAGCTGAAAACGTGAACCGTGCCACAGATTTTAACTTTATAGGCATGCAGAATAAATAGCAAGAAAATCTCTAAAAGAAGCTTTCACATAAGCATCTAGATCATTAGATTACCTTTGTTCTTCCATAAGGATTCATTGCAGATAAGGGGAACTCTTCTGTACACGGAACCACCTTTGGCCAGCCATATACGGTAGCCGATGATGAAAATACAAGCTGAACAGTTCGACGACAGGAAATTAGTTAATGTTCTAGAAATGTCTGGGCATAAAAAAATTCCACATGATAGACAAAAAAGTTGATACCTTTTTACACCCGTGTGCAGCCATTACTTCCAACAGTGTAATTGTCCCGTAGAGATTGTTGTTGTAATAGAGCAGTGGTTTCTTCACGCTTTCACCGACTGCTTTCAATCCAGCAAAATGTATCACCGCATCAAACCTGCGTAACATACAGAAAAGAACAAGGATGAATCTGCTCCAGATCGGATCTTACCATCTTCACATTCCTACAAAATTCAATCGATGACCCCAAATACCATTCTCTTTTCCTGAACCGATCCTTCTAATGCTACTCTCCCATTTTTCCTATCAGAATTCCCAAATTAAACTCAAAGCTCATGAGGAGATCACGGGGCATTGAACATATGAACATCAGATTCGAATGGCAAAAGCTAGTCGGAAGAAAAATTAAAAGAGATAAAACAAACTCACTTCGTGTCGGAGAAGACTCTCGAGAGAGCGGGTTTATCGCGAAGGTCGACCTGCAGGTAAAAGATGCATCAGCCATGTCATTGCCGAATTTTCCGGATTACAAATAACCGACAGAGAATTCGATCCAGCAATCGGCCGACACTACGAGCAGGCATGCGATCCAATCAAATCAGTATCCCAAAACCCTAATGTCATTCCAAAATGAAGTATAGTAACTACACCCAAAAAAATCCCGATTCCGGCATCGATCAGCGAAATCGACGGGAAAACCCGAACGAATTTCATTCAAAACTTCAGTGACGAAAGAAGAAGAAACGAACGGACCTGGTGGAAGGTGAGATTTCTGCCATGATGCCCGGCCAAGTCCATGATGCGGCGGATCGCGACGGGAGAGGAATTGTCGAGGTTGTCGAGGACGACGGTGCGGTAGCCACCGAGAAGGAGCTGAAGCACCGTGTGGCTGCCGATGTAACCGGCACCTCCGGTCACCAGAATATTCTTCGCCATCAACGGAGAATAAAAGCTCCGAGAGGCAACGAAGAGAGAGGGAGAGCGCAAAAGAGAAGCTTCTGTAACGTGTGATGTGAAAGCGATTGGAATAAAAAGAGGAGAGAGATGACACGTGTCTTTAATGATGCTTTCTCTGGAGTTACTTTGAGAAAAAGCCCTTTCTTTCTTTGATTATTTTTTTTTTTGGGTGGTTTTGACATCGACAGCATATTAATACGTGTTGTGGTAACCAGAGAACAACAACATATGGGTTGAATGTTATTTATTATTCGTATGTATATATGTCTCGAAGCATCTAAGAATGTGAAATACAAGAAAAAAATCCCTAAGCAGTCTGGAGTTTAACTAAGACCGGCTTCGAAGGAAGCTCCGCAGCTTTGGCACGTACCGACATGCTATTATTTTAAAAGATTCTTTGTTTACTGACTGGAAAATTTTATTTATCATTTAAAAAAAAAGTGTAACTTTACAGAACATTAATGTGAGACTAAGACGTCCACTTAATTATGCGGGTTGTAATTAAAATAAAATAAAATGGGAAATGAAAGTGGCACATATGGCAGATATTTGGTAACAAATGAGATCTTGAGTGACCAAACGGTGCATTGGTGGTACGTGCCATACCGGACGGTCTTTTGTAAGCGTATGTAATAACAGGGAATCATATGTAGGGATATTTATTTGTTTGGTTAATATATATAGTCCTCATTCATGCATGTTGAGTGTCATCCTCCATCACATAGATCCACGATTATTCCACATAAGCATTTACAATAATAATAATAATAATAATAAATGATGATGATGGACAATGGTAAAGCTTATCCAACGGCTAGGATTCGCCGTGGGAGGAGGAAGAACAAGACCCAAGACCTGAGGAAAATTTGGGCCACAATACATTTAAAATGGGCCTCTCCCAGATACTGTTACGATTTGTAATATGATCTCATATATCTATAGTCGAGTATAAATAATGATTACAATATTATTTGTATATACGAATTGCCATCATCGACGTACCTTAGGAAAATCTATTTTAAACAACATATGTATTTTTATAAAAAATCTGAACTCAATATTAGTAATCTGTCCCCAAGGACAACAATTTATGATGAATGCAATCTATGCGATAGTATGTTATGAATGCTTTCAGGATTTGTTATAAAATTAAAAAGATTAATAAAAATACATAGTTGAACTGAAGCACTCAGAAATATTCCAACCCACGACCCTTTTTGTTTTATATCTGTTTGATTATTTCAAACCTTTGAAAGTTTATCCAATAAAATTCACACAAAAAGACAAATCAGAAAGTCCGACCAACTTTTTTTTTTTAAATTATTGTTCGAATCACATGATGACGAAATCAATTGTAATTTCCGCGTGTCGTGTACGTACGGATGGATATTCGTACGACATATGACAAAATTCAAACTGGAAACGAATATACACATTCACAATATTATATCGAACTCAAACGATTATATATTCGGTAAAATAATCTCAACGCTAGTTAGATATGCTCCGATTTAATTATGCATTAAAATTTGAAAAGTGATGGATAACGAATCGATTGGTCATTTATTTTCGTATTGTCATGATCTGGTTGATAATTTATTTTCCTAATCGTATTTTATAATATGCATTAATATTTAATATACGTTTGGTTATTTCATTTGATAAAAATGTTTTCTTTTCAAACTACTCCTCCATTTAGTTATCTTTTGTATAAAAAAAGATTGTAGTTGTTAAAAAAAAAACACAGCGTGAGACCTCTTGTACAATGTTTTTTATCAAAAATTGTTTTTAACTTTTAATATAATAAAATAAACTAGAATACCTAAATAAAATAGGTAATACAAGTTTGTTAAAACAAGACAAAGCATAATAACCAAATAAATGTTTGCATATATACAGAATAATAAAAATCATATGATTGTAATATATTTTTCAATTCAATTTAAATATTAAAGTGAAAACAATGCTCATTATGAGTGGTGCCTAGAGTTGTAAAATGGATGGATCGGATGGGTTTTGGGTCAGATTTGATTCAGACCTAGATTTTTTTTGAGTCTGAGTCGATCTGTTTGATTATTGTTCGAACCTATGATTGGTGATTTCAGTCCGATCCTATAGGGTTTCGAGTGGATTCAAACTTCTTCTATTTAATAAAAAAATAAATATTAGTTTATAATAATAATAATAATAATAATAATAATAATAATAATAATAATAATGTTTTATTTAGCAATTTTGTTAAAAAATAAAGAAACGAACGGACCTGGTGGAAGGTGAGATTTCTGCCATGATGCCCGGCCAAGTCCATGATGCGGCGGATCGCGACGGGAGAGGAATTGTCGAGGTTGTCGAGGGAGATAATATATATTTTTAATATACGCATTAACGTTTGAAATATATATATATATATAAGTCTTTTATTGATATTATGTAATCTGAAATCTCGAATGAACTTGTAATATTAATTCATGAACTTTTAGGTACGTCTATTTATTTCTGAAATTGCATTTTTTTAACACAGTAATTTTAGAATTTGTTTAACAATTCCATAATCGTCCATATCACTAATTAACCAAAGTAAAATTTAGGAATTACTATGTTAAAAATGCAAGTTTAGGAATTATTATGTTCAAAAATGCAAGTTCAAGAATTATTGTATTAAAAAATATAAGTTCAGGAATAAATATAAGTTTAAAAATTAATATTACATCAAATTACAAGTTCAAGAATTTTCGCATTTTTTTTTATATATTTTTAATATATACATTAACCAAACTGGTTTGAAATATAAATATAAATATAAATATATATATATATATATATATATATATATATATAAGTCTTTTATTGATATTATATGATTTGAAATCTCGAATGTAAGTAAAAATCTAATCATCCAATATATTTCGGGTTAAATAGACTAATCGAATTCGATTCGAACATGAATTTTTTTGGACTGATCCATCCATTTATTTATCTAAGACCCTTATTGGCATTGACTCTATTTGTGGGATTTTCTCGCTTTGTGTTCTTCGCCTGTTACGTGGTCCTAGATGGACACCTAAAAAAACACGTATTGATAGTTATTGTCAATAAATGCCTTTCACCTAAAAAACATACCGCATTGATTAGAATTTTCAATTTTTGACATTAAAGGAGAGATGTCGTACCAATATGTTATCTCTAATCTATAATGGAGTTTTGATTATTTGACAATTTCATTGATTACATTAAAACTCCAAAACAAAATACAATTTAATGTCTCAATAACGTGGACGTTTATCCTTCAAAGCACCCCCCAAACTAATACTTAATTTTTCATAAATCATGGTGATGGTAGTTGTTGACATTTGACAAAGTACGTTTGCCTCAATGTTTGCGTGCCAAATCATAAAATCTGTAAATGCAGAAGGAAATCTAGTGATTAGTTTTTTTGGTTACATGCTCAAAATATAATTATAACAATAAATCACGTAAATGCAATTATATGTATAAGAACATAACGTTATAACTAAAAAATCGGCTATAGGAAATAGGGTTGGACACAAATACCTGAAAATCAGATATCCATCGGATACTCGTCTCGCGGATAACCGATTTTAGGACACTCGTAATTTTCAAATCCAAATCCAAATCCGGATTTTTCAATACCCGTGAATCCGAATCTAAATATGATAATAGAATTTTTAGAATCGGGTATCCGACTAGTATAATTATAAATAATTATATCTTATATCTATATAATATTTTTATAAAATATAATTATTTTAGGTTAAATAATTTTATATTTTAAATAAAGGCATTTAATTTTAAATCAAAGGACTTGTCAGCCAATATATGTATATATGTATGTATATATAGATCGGGGATTGGTCAACCAACTGACCGAACCAATTGTCTATGTATTTTCCTTGACCACGTTGTTTTAAATTCCTCTCCATCTCTCGCGTTCGTCTCTCCAATTTGTGCCTCCAAGCGATCCACACAAATCTACACACAGGCGCGAATACACATATAGATACACACATACATACGCAGTTTCAACAGTAAGGAGCAGCAATGGCGGCGAAGCAGTTCATCGTGGAGGTGGAGAAGGGGAAGGAAGGCGTCGATGGCGGAGCATCTCTGGGGCCTGTCTATCGCAGCATCTTCGCCAAGGATGGCTTCCCGGAGCCCGCCGATGGCCTCCTCAGTTGCTGGGATGTTTTCCGGTTAGATTTCTACTCTCCTCCTTTTTCGGTTGCCGAGAAAATTCCTGCAAAGTCAACGCACTGCTATTGACTTCGTTTTTTTTCCTTTTCGCTTCTTAATTTTTGGTGATGTTTCTTTTTTGGTCTCGTCTCTTCACGTCAATTGGGATTCAGAACCAAATTCTGAAAATGCCCCGTGAAGTTTTGCTTCCGCCAGTTTCTGGCCTCTGTTTGGTTGGCGAGAAAATCGGGCAGAGAGGCATATATGTGGATATATAGATTCGACCTGGGACCTGCTTTTAAATCATGAATTAATTCGTTTGATCATGTCCAGATGAAGGTGTTTGGTTATTGTATGACTTAAATTCTAGGATTTATGGTTGATAATTCCCTTCCTGTGCTCTCTGGCTCCGTTTGGTTGCCGAAAATTTTGAAAGTGATGATTTGCTTTCTCTCCAAAGCGTGAATCGCCGTCATATATATAAATATAATCTCATATATCATTATAATATACGGTTGTTCCAGATGAATTCAGCCAAGATATCAGATACGTGTTCACTAACCTCAAGCTTAAGGGACACTGATGATGATGATAATTGATGTCGTAAAGTGTGAAAACAGATATGTGTGTGTCATAATTTTATGAAGTTCTACTATAGATTTGAGGATTGAGTTTCCGTGGATGTTCTGCTTACAGCTTGGCCGTGGAGAAGTATCCACATAATCCGATGCTTGGTCGTAGAGAAATCGTGGATGGGAAGGTGAAACAACAAACCAATTGCTCTTATTCTTCCCATCTCCTGATATTGACTGTGCCTGTTTCTATGGGCAGGCTGGTGAATATGTGTGGCAAACTTACAAACAAGTGTATGACATTGTGATAAAGCTCGGAAATTCCATCCGAAGCATCGGCATCGAGAAAGTAACTTTGTGTTTTTTCTTCCTTAATTTGATACTCGTGTCACAGTCCAAAACTATATTCTCTGTCTTGCATTTGTGTACACTAGGGAGGGAAGTGTGGGATTTATGGCGCCAACTGTCCAGAATGGATTATAAGCATGGAGGTAATATGAGAAATCCTAGTCAAAATACAGATAAATCTACTGTAGTCTCCTTCTAGTTTGTTCTTCAGCCGAAAGTTTGAGATTTTTTTTTATGTTATGAACTGATGCAGGCCTGCAATGCTCACGGGCTCTATTGTGTACCTCTATACGACACGTTAGGTATGTTCATTCATTTGTGTCGGTATCAAGAAAGCTTCCTTCCTGCCTAATGTATGTGTTACATTTGCCCATGTGCCCATAAAAACTCGGTGTGTCAAATTTCGTCACAAGTTCAGTGGTCGGCCTGAGTTATCTGGTAGGCAATGATTGAAACCTTCTCCATATGTTAGGTGCTGGTGCCGTAGAATTTATCATTTGCCATGCTGAGGTTTCACTTGCTTTTGTGGAGGAGAAGAAGATTTCTGAGGTACTCTTCTTGCAATACATTGTCAACAGAAAAGCATCTATCCAGAGAACATGTCAGAAACATACTAGATTAGCATATGATTGAGCATAGATTAATCGACTGTTGTGCTTCCCCTTTTGCTTTCCAGCTGCTGAAGACAGCCCCAAATTCAACCAAATACATGAAGAGTGAGTTTTTGTTGTGTCGAGTTTTGCTGATTCTTGCTTGGTAAGGGTTCAATCAATGGCGTACGTTTTTTGTGGAACAGCTATTGTGAGCTTTGGTAAGGTTACAAATGAGCAAAGAGAAGAGGCAGAGAAGCATGGTTTCACAATATATGCGTGGGAACAATTCTTGAAACTCGTAAGATAAAATCATATTCCCTTCTTTATCAAGTAAAGCTTGGCTTTGTTTTCGATATTTCTTATATCATAGCCCATTTCGTAACTCATTTGCTTTGCTCTCTACTCTCTAGGTGATCAGCAGAATTTTGAATGTCTGTAACTATTACACCCATGTTTGCACGTGCTTGTTACTTTCAGGGTGAGGGCAACCAATATGATCTCCCAGAGAAGAAAACAACCGATATTTGCACAATAATGTACACAAGTGGAACTACTGGTGATCCCAAGGGAGTCTTGCTTTCCAATGAGAGTATTATTCATCTAATCGAAGGGGTGAAGAAATTGCTTAGCAATATCAATGAAGAGGTGATTTTCTTTTCTGGACTTTGTTTCTTTTTGTCATTAATCTCTCTCCAAAATCTGATGGATTGTGATGAATTCTTTTCCTTTTCTATGTGTAATTTTGCAGTTGACTGTTAAGGATGTTTATCTCTCGTATCTCCCTCTGGCTCACATATTCGATCGCGTGATCGAGGAGCTATTTATTTATCACGCGGCCTCAATAGGATTCTGGCGAGGGGTGAGTGCAGAAACTGATCTTAAGTTGGCCATTGAAAACAGTGTATCGGTTTATGATAATATGTTTCTGTGCTGCGTCTTCAGGACGTCAAGTTGTTGATCGAAGACATTGGTGCCTTAAAACCAACTGTCTTCTGCGCTGTTCCTCGTGTATTAGAGAGAATATATGCAGGTAATGTTATGTCCAACCACTGAATCTTGAGAAGAAGAAGAAGAAGTAGAATCAATCGATCATAGACACTCTTCCTGAACTTCTTGTGTTGATCTCCATTGTGGTCAGGTCTGCAGCAGAAACTAAATGATGGAGGTGTCTTGAAAAAGACGCTATTCAACTTGGCATTTAACTAGTAAGTGTACCATTTTTAGACCTTAATCTGATGAGAGTTCAAAACCAGGGTTTTATGTAAAATTGTGAATTATCTGGTTCTGAAACATTCCACCAATGGCTTTTCAGCAAAAATCATAACATGGAGAAAGGGAAGCCTCATGAACAGGCGTCACCAATCTGTGACAAAATTGTATTTAAGAAGGTGATAAGAGACAACAACACCCTCAAGTCTTTAGTTTGAAGTTTTGGTAATAACTCTTTTAGGATTTGGGAAAATATCAGGTAAAGGAAGGATTGGGAGGAAGGGTGAGGCTGATTCTATCAGGAGCAGCTCCTCTAGCGGTTCATGTAGAATCCTTCCTTCGTGTTGTGGCGTGTGCTCATGTTCTACAAGGATATGGTAATACTCTTTCAGAAATCGTGGGAAAATATTCAAAGGATCTGCGTATTATCTAAATATTCTTCTAATGTTTGCAGGATTGACAGAGAGTTGCGGAGGGACATTCTGCTCACTGCCAAATGAAGTGGGCATGCTTGGAACAGTGGGTCCGCCTGTACCAAACGTGGACATAAGGCTGGAGTCAGTGCCCGAGATGGGATACGACG